TTTCACAGGCTTTCAGACATAATGAGTACTGGATAAACATATTAAATTCAATTGAGTAGATTACCTTCTTTGAGGGTCATCATGCACGTTGGCTAAAAAGTCTCTTCAGAGGTGTTAATTCTACGCAAAGGGGACCCAAGGGAAAGTGTGTTCTTGTAGCCCATGCACAATATGGGATTTGCCCGCTAACAAGGCCTAAGAGTCTCCAAATTAAATTATATTGCACCTGTGATGTTACCTTAAAACAACTGGCATATAAACAGTGGCAGAAGAATTTCAAGAGCTGTCTGCTGTTCTTCAAAATTAATTTGATTTCCCTGAGTTGCTTGTCTAGGAACAACATGGAGCACATGGTACCCACCATCTTCGGGTAATATGGTATTTTCTTCTAAGGCTTGTGCACTTATTTTGAGAAAATAATTGTATTCTCAGAAGAATTTGTGAATAACACAGTTTTGGTGCTCTCACGTGTTTGCGGATCACATGCCTCATTTTTCCATTTGGTAGTGGCAGAAACTCCTTGAGTTGTAATGGGGAGTATTACTTGTGATTTATCTATGTGGTGTCAATACCACAACACATTTTATGGTTGTGATTAGTCTTTAAAAGCATCAGAATTATTACAGAGTCATGAAAATGTTCTGCCGTGTTGACATGTTTTTCTTAGAAAGGTAATTTTTTTAAGATACGTAATATTTTTCTAATATGCTATTAAGATAACGTTGTAGTCCTCAGTTTAGGAAAAGAGGAATACCCTCCCGCCACAATACTTTCAGTTTCCTTTACTTAATTTTTTTCTGATGTGATTCCTCTAAATCAAGGGCTGCCACTTCAAGGCCCACGGGCCAAATCCGGCCAGGCTCCTCTTTTTGTATATAAAGGTTTCCTGGGATATAGCCACACCTATTTGTGTTTGTATTATCTATGGCTCCTTAGGCATATGGCCCACCAAACCTAAAATATTTACCATCTGGCCCTTTGCAGAAAAAGTTTGCTGATCTGCTTTGGCTTCTTTATGAACCTCTTTATATTTTCAGGTAGCCATGGGATAATTCATCCCACTCAGAGGTTCCCCATGGTTACTCTAGAACCCTTGCCTTACTCAGGTGCCCCAGGTCCCCACTGCATTGGGCAGCCCTCTGTGCTTCTATCTGTGCCCCGGATACTACTGCGGTTGTGTATTTCAGTGCCTGTCTCCCGGACCAGAAGGACAGGAACACCTTCTTAGTCTCCTTTGCTGTTCCCAGAGCCTAGTACAGTGTCCACACTTAAGTGATGCTCAGTGTTCATTGAAGGAACAAATGAGTTACATGTCTCAGTCACAATATAAAGCAGCATTTTAATAGATACAGTTTATCTGAGGCTCTGAGTATTCTAGAAACTGCTTCTTTCTAGTTATAAAAGGGTTTTTAAAAAAGGCTTTTACCGTCACAATTTTATTTCCTTTGGGCTCATGTGAAAATTAGTTTACGTTAAAAATGAGTTTACATTTCTCCAGCTTTCATCTAACATTAGTTCTAACCATGCTAGATCTTAAGGATAAACTTCTTTGAATTAAAAAATATATATATTGCAGACTATCTCAATCTTGTATAGATGATTGAAAAGTAAATGAATGTCATCTCCATTTTGTCAGGGTTTTAGTACTCAGAGGTGGCTGATACAAGGGTCTGGTTTATTATTTATTCCCTCATTCCAGCAAGACTAAGTGTCTCTGGTGTTGTAGGTGGCGGTGAAAGAGCAATAAACAAGACAAAGCCTTTACTCTTGTGGTGCTTCCTTTCTCGTCTGGGTACATAGTAACCAGCCAAGAAAACTGCCAGCTGGTGGCAGGGGGGCTGTGAAAAGATTAAAATAGGGTGATATAAGAGTGAGTAAGCAAGTAGCAGTTTAAAGTCCCTAGCAGTTAATTGTTCTTTTGAGAGAGTGGCATTGGAATTAGGATCTGAATGATAAGAAAGAAGCGGCCATGTGAAGATCAGGGGGAATTGATCTGGGCAGAACAAATAACCAGGACAAAACCCCCAAATCTAGGAAGGAGCTTAGTGTGTTTGAAGAACAGAAAGAAAGCAACTATGGCAGATGTATAGTATGCTAGAGAGGAGTGAGGAAAAAGAGGCTCAGGAGGTAGGTAGGCATCAGTCAGGATGCAGCCTATGGTGAGGTTAAGGCTCAGGCTCTTGTCTTCTCTGGTTGTAAAGGAACTGAGGGAAGACGGTTGATGCTGGCTTTCTGATGCCCAGTTAGTGCTCAGAATGGCCCCAGGGAGTGTGACGGTTAGCGAATCTGCTACTGGCCAGGTCAGCTTCTCACACTGCAACCAGAGGCTCCAGAGCCCCACGGTGTGTAATGCCAGACCCAGCTACCTCCGTGTAGAGTGATGCGGAACCCACCTTTGTGGCCATTTCTAGGTTGAGATGGCTGTTTGGCCATCCTCTGGGTCCCAACAGAACAAAGACAGTGATCACCCACATTACTGCAGAGTAATCACCCTTGAGAGTAATCTCCATTTCATCTTATTTTTTGCATCAAAATGTCTGTGTGTGATATGCAGATAAGATGACTTTTTAACAAAAGGTTGGGTTGCAGGGAATATTATGTCAGGACAATGTTGCCTAAATGGGTTGCTGAAAAATATTCACCTAAATGAGAATGTGCTTAGCTGTTGAAATCTTTTGTGATATGTTGTATTTCTATATTAATATTCAGTTACAGTAAAAAATATATGTGATGTATCACCCTGCGGTCAGGTATGTACAGGATAGAACTTCTCACATCTTCAACCATTTTGGTTCCCTTCCATAAACAGTTTGATTCGTTAAACTTGGGTTAAGCTGATTCTTAGCACCGGGTAAGAAAATGGACAGGTAATAAGATACAGTTTTTTATGGCATTGGAAAAAAACCTTTCAGATGTCATTGATATTACTAAAGTAACGTTAGACCCAAAGATTGCCAGATTCATTCCTTCAGTTTTCACAGTAAGCAGTTGTTTCAATAGAATGTTATTCCCTTCCCCACCTAGTTGCTGTGTGCAGACATAGCCAACCACAGTAATTATGAATATTGCTGGAAGCTTGCAAAATTGTCATCTTGCTGTGGTTTGGTGAAGTCAGAGCCCAAGGGAGGGTGTAAATTAAAGCAGGGTGGAGGAAGATGGGGAAAGGGCTCTTTTAACAGCAAAAAAAGCAACTCAGTGGGAGTGGAGGCTGGCAATCAGCTCAGAGGAAATGAAAGGAAATTCTCCATTTCTAAATGGTTCATTGACCCATGATAATAAAGCAGCCCTGCCAAAGAAGGATAATTATCTTTTTAAGTATCAGATGCCCTGTGGGTGAAGGCCTCCCTTCTCCTCTCTTGAAAAATGAACTCAGATTAAACAAATACTCGTTTTCCTAGTTTACCGTTGACATAAATTTCCTGATTATGAGCAAAATTAATCAGTTTTCCCTCTCTATTTCCCCCTGTTTTATGGAAATCAGGCCCGCCCAGCTGAGCTCAGTGCATTTCCCCTTGGGTCCTGAGTCCTACCAATAGTATGGTGGGCTAAAATGCTTGATATTCTGGTGAGACTAGCAACTGTAGACTTGTGGTTTTATTATGCCCCTTAGCTGCTTGGCTCAAAGCAGAAGCATGTTCTTTTAAAACAAGAAAAACGAAAGAAACAGAAAAGAACATTAGCTTTCTTTCTCCTGCTGGTACCTGAAAACTGAACAAAAATTAATGTAGCTTGTGTGTGTATACACATGTATGTGTACATGTCTATATGTGTATACCCATACATTTACGAGTTCAAATACAAAAAGGAACTGAAACGTTATTGATGATGTGACGCTGAATGTTTATTTGCTACCAACAAATGATCAAACCTGCATCCTTTTTCTCTAGAATTTGTTGTTTGTTCAGACCAATAATTTAATATGTTGATTTGTCTGACTAATAGAATACATTAAGATGGCTCCCTTCGCACAAGCAGACACCCCTTGTTTTAACTTAATAATTTACCTTCAACTGCCTTCTTGAATTCTTAATAATCAGTTTGAGGAATGCTTGTCATCGGTTGCTTAACCGTGTGGCACATCTCCTTGTTATAAATGAAGTTCACTGAACATTTTCAGAATCTCTATACTCCTTTTAAAAATAAAATCCTATTGTCTTTTTTTTTTTTTTTTTTTTTTTTTTTTTTTTTTTTTTTTTTTTTTTTTTTTTTTTTTTTTTTTTTTTTTTTTTTTTTTTTTTTTTTTTTTTTTTTTTTTTTTTTTTTTTTTTTTTTTTTTTTTTTTTTTTTTTTTTTTTTTTTTTTTTTTTTTTTTTTTTTTTTTTTTTTTTCGGTATGGGGGCCTCTCACTGTTGTGGCCTCTCCCGTTGCAGGGAACAGGCGCCGGACGCGCAGGCTCAACGGCCATGGCTCACGGGCCCAGCCGCTATGCGGCATGAGGGATCCTCCCGGACCGGGGCACGACCCCGTGTCCCCTGCATCGGCAGGCGGACTCTCAACCACTGCGCCACCAGGGAAGCCCCCTGTTGTCTTTTGATTACATATTTTTCTACAGAGATATTGAAATTAAAGTTTTGATTGTGATGCTCTTCATAGAAAAACAAACTGAATATTCCAGTTGCTTTTCCAACCCAGGGCCTTTGGCTGCTTGAGAAGATAGAGCTTGAGAATAGGGGTCAGGAGATAACGGTCCAGAATAGATCCTGCCTCGTGGCATAATTATTTCAGCCAGCACTTAAGTCTCTCTGAATACTGATGTCTTTTTCTCTTAAGAGAATTTCTTCAGTGCGCCATAGCTTCTCCTGTAAAGTATAATTAACCGTGTTTGTAAGCTCTCTTTGAACTCCTTGGAGTTCAGTGGTTGGTAAATATTTGTTCTTTTATTCCTTAGCCTTTGTGAGTTCAGGCCCTGGACCAAGGGGATTCAAGCCTGTGGGTATAAACTTCTTGGTAAAAATGGTCCCTAAAGCAAGCAGAATGTACCTTAACAGACCTCACTGCAGATGTCCTCGTGTGTCCCCTCCGGCCAGTGGAGCGCTTCCGAGACCTGCATCCCAGTGAAGTGGCCGACCTGTTTCTGGCAGCACAGAGAGTCGGGATGGCAGTGGAAAAGCATTTCCAGGGCACCTCTCTCACCTTTTCCGTGCAGGTGAGTGTACAGATAGCTCGCTCATCCAGGGCCACCCTACTATCCACAAGGCCCCGAGGTGGACTTGGTGAACAGGGTGGAATATCAGCAGAGGCAATGCGCACAGGCTTGTTGACCAAGCAGCTGGGAGTACTGGACGTGTGATGTATGTGACGGGCATGAAGACATTCCAGATCTTTTATTGGAACTGGGGCTGGACATGTCATTTTGATTCCAGGAGAAATATGTTTTGAGCCCTGCTCTATTTCTAGGGGAATAGAGATATGCAGGTTAGGTAGGGCCTCGCCCTCACAAGGCTGACCTTTTTAATTCAAGCTTCAGTGATTGATTATGGATTGCTTATGGTTTGAAGCTGGATTGATTGAGTGTTCAGTGTGGCCTACTTCCTGGTAAAGAAGCTAGACCCCCAATTACTAGAGATCTTTAGGCCGAGTTTGAGCCAACGCTTGTCAGTGTGGGAGGAGGAGGTCCGCGGTGGGTCATCAGCTGTGGGAATTGAGTGAATCTTCAGGTAGAATATACCATGAACCCTTTCTTATCGCCCATGGAAAGAGCTGCGGGTATCTATACATAATTAAAGCCCTGTGTGGCCTTGAGATTTGATGACTCTCCAAAAACCCTTTGGAAAGAAGTAGATGGTTTCATGATGCAAGACCTTGTACTCAGTGCTTTAGGTAAACTGGATATTTATCATCCTCCCTCTACCCTCCTCAGCTCTCCACCGTAGACTTTAAAAGAGAACAGATAGAGAAGGCCACTGTTTTCAGGTCGTGAAAGACTCTGACTAGAAATGCTCATCTGCATTTTTTTTTTAATTTATTTATTGGCCGCGCCATGCAGCCTGCGGAATCTTAGCATCCCGACCAGGGATCGAACCTGTGCCCCGTGCAGTGGAAGCAAGGAGTCCTAACCACTGGATGACCAGGCAATTCCCTCATCTGCATTCCTTAAAAAAAACCTTTTGCCACCATGTCTGTGTCAAGAGTATCTAAACTTCCTTGTAAAATGTGTGTGGGGTGTGTGTGTGTGTGTGTGTGTGTGTGTGTGTGTGTGTGTGTCTGTCTGTGTGTATTGTGTATTAACCCCTTTGAGTCACCTTCAAGCAGGTAGTTAAGCTCAGGGTGGGTTTATTAAGCTGATGCTGCAAATCATGTTTCCAGAGAGACCAAATGAAGGCAACTGGGTGAAGACATATGTCAGCGTTTAATGGAATACTAGAAGAAAAATCACATTCATAGGAAATGGCCAATGCTGGTTATCTAACATGATTTGCTAGAAACTTAATTCCAAAAATATAGAAACTGATGTTAAAAAATATAGAAACTGTTGCTATTATATAAAGCACTTAGAGTATTTTCATATATGTGGTGTTTTCAAACTTTTTAAAACTTTAACGTACAGTAAGATATATATTTATTTCACAATCACATATTCCCCTCTCCCCCTACAGACATGTAGATAAAGGAAGCAGAAACTTCACAAAGCAGTGTTTACTTATTCTGAACAGTCTAATAGTTTTTGTTCTGTTATCTGATTTCTTTTGTCTTCGGTGCTGGTCACAGCCCATCAAGTTGACTTTATGACCCACTAATAGGTTGAGACTCCAAGTTGGAAAACCACTGATTACACAGGTCTGCTTAATCTTTGCCATAGCAGGGCAAGAATTCTCACCGCAAGTAGTTTGGGTCTTAGAAGTAGAAAGACTTAACCTAAATTTTCAGAGTTGTAATTCAATTTTGAAATTTCTGATTGTAGAAAAATTGCATGTTCTGCTCTTCCCAACCAGCTGAGCACTTACTTGCTTTTGTTTTGTATTGTGGCTGATGACTAGATGAGTTTGCTTATTTTTTAGCTAAGCAAGTAGTTCAGTTGGGCTTCAGAAAGCCGAGGGAAGGACCCAGGATGGGAAAAGCTCAGCTACAATAAACACTTGCACCTTTTCTCCCAAGGTCAGAAGAGCCAGAAAGGGCCCACTCTTGGGTGCTCCCTATATTCTTGCTTCTTGCTTAATGGATTATGTTTATAGCAATTTCCTGAGGAGAGACTTAAAGTAATCAGGCATTAATTAAGCTACATCTGGTTTAAAGATAACCAAAAGGTGTGATACTTAACCTCCCCAAATATTTCCAGTCTTCCTTTAATGCAATTAAAACCACAGCCAAAAGCAAAGAGCATGAAAAGTAGGAAAGGGGTTGACTCACTGCATAATTTATATCATTTTTATACATAACTTCTTACTCTCAAGCGGAAATGGAGAACTGTTGGGCCCCGTACCTTCGAAGCAAATGGTCCCCATGAGGAAACTATAAATTAACACACAATGAAATTGGATCTAAATTATTAACAGGCAATATTTCTGAATAAGCAGGAGATACCATCTATCTGTTCTCACCTCTGTCTTTTTTTTTCCCCCCCTATTTCTAGGATGGCCCCGAAGCTGGACAAACTGTGAAGGTGAGTGCTTATTATGTGCATACAAATTAATAGGGGGCGATTACGAGAACTAATAAAAACTGACACTGAGTCATTTGGAGCACATTGCTGCTTCATTATGTTATCTTTGAGGTCAGAGAGAGCCTTGGTGTCGGAGCCATAAATCGTGACATTGTAAACTTTGCCAAAGCAATATGTTTCACATTCGTTTTCAAGACATTTACCTTTTGTAGTAAAATTATTATTGTTCAAATGCTAAAACAGAAACTAAATCATGGAGTCCTGAAACAGAAACCGAAGTCAAACGAGTTCATGGGAGGTAGTGTCTAGGAGACAGGACATATGCCGCACGTGGATTGCTGGGTCTCCTGTTAAGCCTGTGCCTCTGTGGCAGCCTTCTGGTTCTCTACACTGTATATTGTTGCTTTGCCATTGTTGAGTGGAGGGCTCACAGATACGGTGGCCCCATGGATGTCCCTTCACTCCTCGCCCTTTGCTTCCCTCTGTTCTCCTACTTTCTACCCACACACCTACTTTTTTCCTCCCTTCGTACTTAATACCAAAGTTCAACATAATGGAGTCAGTGGAGCTCAAAGATGAGTTTTGAAGTGTGCCAGCAGATGGAAGGAAGATTTATCAGGATAGTCTCTGCTTCCCTAATAAAGTAAAATAAAAGAATAAAATCCTGGCTGATTCTGAAGCTGAGTTTCAGCCCCCTTCATACAAATGCAAAATGCCTGTGCAGTTAGTTCCTACACCTAAATCATAGAAAAGGCCTTTTTATTCTTTTTCGTTTTTTTTTTTTTTTTGGTGTTAGAAATCTGAAGCAAGTCTAACTGGGGTGCTTATGTTACATTTTGCGAAATAAGATTTTATGGCTTTGAGACTGGCTGTGAGTGAGTAAGGTAATGCTTGGTACCAAACAATGCCCAATAAACATCATCCTCTTTTGATATTCGTCTGCATATGGTTTTAATGCTTAACATAGCTACCGTGGGACTTTTAAAATAGAATCTCTGGGAAATACTTTTGAGGAGCAAATGTCCTACAGAGATTGCCACCAAATTCCTTATGATAAAAAAGAGCTAGCCTTCCTCCAGACACACAGTGTGATAAGGACAGAGGGGATTCACAGTTTTCCCCCACCTCCATGCCAGGCTTCTAAACATGTCGATGCTAAAAAAAAAAACAAAAAAACAAACAAACAAACAAAAACAGTATAATGCAGTAGCTTCATTTTGCAGTTGCTTTTGGAAGTACAAAATGTAAGTGTTTAAGCCTGGTTGCTAGATTTTCTTTTCTTTTTAAAGAATATTCATTTATTTATTTATTTGGCTGCACTGGGTCTTATGTGGCACACGGGGGCACGCAGGATCTAGTTCCCTGACCAGGGAACGAACCTGGGCCTCCTGCACTGGGAGGGCAGAGTCTTAACCGCTGGACCACCAAGCAAGTCCTGCTAGATTTTTTTAAAAATCAATATTCAAATATAAATTGCAACACCACCAGATTAGTTAGGTGTTCTGTGCAGTATCTATTTGATGAAATTCCTTCAGCCATTGAAAGTAATGCTGCAGAGGCATAGCTAGTAACATGGGAGAAATTCAAACCATGTCAAGGGGCATGCAGAGATTGATAGTCTGCACAACATAAACATATCTGAAATTTATATGAATATATAGATTATATGATCTCAAAATTTTATTTTGGGAATCTGAATGGGACGTTAATCTAAACGGGGCATTTTCCTAGACAAGCAGGCACTGAATAGAGACAAAAAGTAGATTAGTGGTTGCCAGGGGCTGGAGGAAGAAGGGAAGGAGAAACGACTACTACCAGGTAAGAGTTTCTTTTTAGGTTGATAAAAATATGGAATTAGTGGTGATGGTTGTGCAACATTATGGATATTTTTAAAACCTACTGAATCGTACATTTTTAAATGGTAAATTTTATGTTATTTGAAATATATCTCAATTAAGAATGATAATAAAAAACCCCAACAAACACCAAGTCTAGCAGAGCTGAGCACCATGGCTGTAGACTCTCTGACTTTAGTACTGACTATTTTTTCATGTCCCAGTCATCGGGCCAAAATTTTTAATGGTTTTGTTAGCTTTGATGGTGGGGTGATGGAGTAATTTTTGGAGTATGGCACTCATATATAAATTGTTGAATGTGGTTCTGATCATCACTGCCATTGTAATTTAGCTTAAGTTGATTTTTTTTTTTTTTACAGTTCTTTTTTTTTAATTGGCAGATTATGTTCTTTTGAACATCTTTCAGTTGTTTCCTATATGATCCCTAATTTCCCCCATATGAATTAGCAGGGCCATCTCAAATCGTTTGTGTAATATTAAATGGCTAAAAGAAAACATCCATATGCATTTGACCTTTGAATAACAGGAGTTTGAACTGTGAGGGTTCACTTATACAGGAATTTTTTTCAGTAGTAAATACTACAGTACTACAGATAAGTGGTTGGTTGAATCTGCAGATGCAGAACTGCGTGTATGGAGGGCTGCCTCTGAATTATACACGGATTTTCTACTTCAAGGGAGGGTCGGAACTCCTAACCCCCAAGTATTAAGGGTCAGCTGTACATAAAACTAAAACCTCAGTGGATGACAAAGTTTTGAAAACTGTCCTTTTAGACCAAGTCTACCTATCACAAGTTATCTAATCTATTTTTTCTAAGTGTGATTCTTATACTACCTACCAACTATTCTTATGCTACCTACCTGAGAATTAATTTTGATGTTACTTTAATAAAAAGGTTGATTCTGTCTTTATTCTGAATTTCCTGATTTAGAATCTTTGTGTGTGGGGCTTGGGAATCTTCATTGTTAACAAGCACACCGCATGATTCTTCTCAGAATGTAAATATTTACCAGCCTTGCTGCTTTATGGTGATAAAGTAGTAGGTGGTGATGGCCACATAACCTTGACCCAAGGAAGCCAGGAGTCAGCCCCTCCAGGGAGTAAAGCTAATCTCTGAGAGGCAGCAGTGAGTGGTGGCATGAAGCGAGATCTTAATCGCCTGCCCAGGAATTGAACCTGGGGAGCCTGGATGAAAACCAGGAATCCCAGTCACCACACCCCCTGGGTCTTGCCCCCAGTGAAAAATGCATTTCTCACGGAAGCAAAAACTGTAAAAACAGGTACAAGTTTATTATTAGAGACATAGCACAACAACAGGTGGGAGAGCACACAGAGCAACAGTTTGTTTAGTTAGGACAGAAGCAAGGCAGAGATGCACACCGGGGAGGAAGGGTGTGGGCGTCCTCCGGAATGAGGAGGAGCCAGGAAAGAGGCGGTTAGGTCATTCATATAGGGCAGTTCTTCCGGGTCTTTGTTTACCTTTGGCCAATTACCTGGTTTCTTTTTCCACACCTGCCCTGCCCTAGGACCCTACCCAACATGCGTGCGCAACGTTTTTCCAAGATGGATTTCAGCCCAGAGGTCTATGGGATGGCCTTAGCATCGCGTATTATGGGGTGGTGCCCCCTCCTTTTGACCCCCCAAGGAGACTTTCTGCGCATGTGCAATGTTTCCCTTGCCTCAAGGGTGGGAAATGTATGACCTCTTGATCTTTTAAGAGGGTTTAGTCCCACTCTGCCCCTGCCATAAAAGTGTCCAATGCCCGGTTATCTACCCTATTCCTGTTATTGTTTCTTATATCAAAGTGCAGATCTCGAAATACAGACAGGAGTCCACTCATAAATATGTAGTCCCGAGCCAGTTGGTCTCTTGCCTCAGGAAATGTAAACAAGGGGCTGTTAATGAATGTCCGGCCTGAAGCCCATCTTATTCTCTCCCCAGGAAGTGTGAACAGGAGGCTGGTTGTCAGTGTCTAGCCTGGGGCCCGTCTACCTCCTGCCTCAATGCCACATGGTCAGTATTTAGCTGCCAGGTTTTGAAAGCTACAAATCATGACTAAGCATTTCAGATTTTGAAATTCACACGGTTGAACATTATGAGGCACTATCTGACAGCCTGCCATGGAAAGCGCAGCGACTGTTTTCTTTTTGCTTCTGTGTCTGACTCTTGGTACCCCGCCCGCCGCCTGGGCCCTAAACGATTTTTGTCTCATGTTGGGTGGGAAGAGCAATAAGCCCAGCAATGATCCCTTCCCTTGCTGCTGTTAGCGGAAGTGCACCACTGAGCGAGCCTCTTGAACGTGGCGCCCCTTTAGGGCTTTTTTGTTTTGTGGGCTTTAAATTCTTCTTTGCAAAGAACAAGGGTGGCCTAGCTTATTCAGTAAGGCGTTTGTAACGAAAGGGAAATATCAAACTAAAAATGTGACCTCTTTTATTTTCTTTATTTTTCTGCGGTATGCGGGCCTCTCACTGCTGTGGCCTTTCCCGTTGCGGAGCACAGGCTCCGGATGCACAGGCCCAGCGGCCATGGCTCACGGGCCCAGCCGCTCCGCGGCATGTGGGATCTTCCCGGACCGGGGCACGAACCCGTATCCCCTGCATCGGCAGGCGGACTCTCAACCACTGCGCCACCAGGGAGGCCCTAAAAATGTGACCTCTTATTTCTCGATTGTTTATTAACTTTCCTGTTTGAGTCTAAAAGTAGGAGGGCATTGCTATCCACCAGGTGATTACTGCTGCAATTTTGATATCCTGCAGGCTTGCGAAATGATCCCTTCTGGTCTCAGCCACATATCGCCATATGCATATCCGTATTATCACGTACCTATACAGCCATACGTCGCTGGGTCATCAGCCTTCCCTGACCAGCCCCTCCTATCTGAAGTAGCCCTCCTAAACCCCTTACCCACTATCCCGTTTGCCTTGGTCGACTAAAAACAAAGACAAAAACCTAAAAGTTGCGAGTTGTGTTTTATTCGGGGACCTTACTGAGGACGTTAGCCTGGGAAGACAGCCTCTCAGCTCTGAGGGACTGTTCCCAAGAGGTCAAGGAGGAACCAGCATATATAGGAGTTTTGCTGAAAAAAAAATGTAGTCAAACATCAAAAGATTACCGATAATCACAAAAAAACAGACATCTCAAGT